TGGCAGACTCACTACTGAACAACTAAAATGGTTAAGAGAGAGGTGAATGCATCTGGATCACAGTTTTGGCAGTTTAGACCAAGACTGGAGATGAAATTAGTGATATTTACAATATTTAAAAATTGTGTTATCTATACAGCAAACACCACAGATGTCATACAAATAAAAATACTGTTAAACTGCTGTTTAAAATGTATCGCTAAACCCAAGGCTGAAGTTTCACATGTTAAGATGTGTTCTAAGTTCTAGCGATTTACAGTACACAACTGTATGTTTAGTCATTAGAGTACAACCAACCCATCACAGCTTGCTTTGCCCTTCTTTGGCAAAAATGTATTTCTTCCAAAGAAATATGGACCAGGTTCAAGGTTTTGTTCAAGAGAAAATAACTATGCAGTAGTTATCTTCTAAAAATATTTCTGGTGTATATGTCTTCGCAGAATACTCTGTATATTCCAAACGTCCAGCAGCAAAGAAATGCTCTAGCAATCAAATCCAATAATCAGGGAAAATAGTGTAATTTTCAAAATAGGCCTATTGCTTTGTGAAGTTATAAAGGCCCAGGTGCTGTAGATTCCCAACTAAATTACAGAGTAAGTTGCAGGGATTCAGTCTGGCTGTCTTGGGCATCTTATAAGTGGACAGAATTTATGATTTAAAAAGGCCTGTTGAGGTAAACTTGTGGAGAGAATTTAAAAAATACATGCTCTCCAAATTAAATGTTTAAGGGAGTTACAAAGAAATACAACTTCTGTGGATATAATTTCTATTATAGAGTATAAAAATAACATAAATTAGACATTCTAAATAACAGACTTAAGGGAACTGGAGCCTTTTCAGAGGGACAAAGCCTTTGTGAGACGGTGACCTCTCTACAGAGTCATGTGGGTCTGTGGCTCAACTGCTATTCATCCAGCTATTATTTACCTCTCTGTGAGGTGAACAATAACTGAATTTCACATTCTTCAAGATCATTAAATCCACAATAACAGTTGTTGTCAGAAGGAGAAGACTCCTATAGAGATATAACAACTAAACAGGGAAACTCTTTTCAAGGCTAAAAACACAGGTGTTAGGCACAAATTACACAACGTATCAGCCTAGCAATTTTCACGTCACTTTGTTAACTGTGGCAGTCTATAACTGTGGAGTATCTTTTATGCCTGTGTTCAGCTGCAGAGCTTACAGGGTTTCTCCAGCTCACCCGTACCTCTCTACTCCCAAATAAAGAATGCCTAAGCCATTAATTAATATACCAGTGTTTAAAGTGTACTGTTGCCCTTTGTCTGAGAGCTCCTTGATTTTCAGGCCTGGCAGCAGGTCAGTTTCCGCTGTTGGAAAGGAATCGTTGTCAGAAAGTCAAGTGCCACGTGACTTATTTGCATCATGTACATATTTTTATATAGATTATGTACATGAGTCTTGGCATAAACAGCTCTGAAACCTTGGCTTAGGCATGCTAAGAAGGTACAAGAAATGTCTTTGTTGCTGTCCCTGCAGTTCTCCAAGTACCATTCCCATGTATTACGAAAGTAGGTGACACATCCACTTGAGTAATTGCACATGCAGATAGCAATACTAAAATTCATTGTCAACTTGTTCAAAGTATTTTTCTGTTGACTTGCTACACACCAGTACATTTAGCAAAAAAGGTATAATAACTGATTATATGGGGGGGGGGAGAATTGTGGGGGTTTTTATTTGTTTGTCTTTTAAGGGAGAGGACTGAAAGGGACAATGAAATGTATTATCTCCAGACTCCAAAGAAATTAAAATACAGAACTCCACTAGTGGTCCTTCTTCCTCTTAACAAAGATTATTTTAACCCTGTTCCAGCTCAGGTCTGCTAAGGAGCCCTTTATTCCAACACATTTCTGTGAAAGAACATGGTTATCCCACTGATGAGGAAGAATGAAAGACCTAGTGAATTAGCTATTGACTTTTTTAAAAAAATACAGTGGTTTGACAGTCCCCCTAAGATTTAGGATTTTATTAGTCTCTTAGTTCTCTTGTCTTCTCCCTGTTATCTAAACAGGAGATACTTAGATTATTGACAGAAATGAACTGGAAATATTAATTCATGTTAGCCACAAATGTTTGGAACTCAAGTTAGAAAACTTGTGAATGTTATCTTCTTGGTTGATGACAGAAGTCCATGAGAAAAATACCATCATAAATAAAAAACATTAACTTGTGGGTTTGTCCTGGTTTCAGCTGGGATAGAATTAACTTTCCTGCCAGTAGCTGCTCGGGGACTGGCTAAGCACGCGGTGGGGCCGGGGCTTTGAATATTCATCAGTAGTAGTAGTAGTATTTCCTTTGTTGTCTTATTAAATTGTCTTTACCTCAACTCACGAGTTTTACCTTTCATGCATTCTCCTCCCCATCCCACTGGGGGGAAGGGGAGGGTTGAGTGAGTGGCTGTCTGGCGCTTAGTTGCTGGCTGCTGGGTTAAACCACGACAGGGTTAAAGCAGGCAGCTTCGCTCTACCAAAACCATGCAAATTCCACCCTAATGCTACAAACATTCTATAGGCTGAGTAAACATCTCTGAAAGTAGTATTCAAAAGAAAAAAAATCTCATAAGACTCATTTAAAATGTATTACAATAATCACAAATGCTTTAAAATAAATACACATTATGTTTATCCCTTTCCACTAAGTAACAGTAATTGGCACGAAGAATACACTTTTGTTTTTCTCTGTGCTGTACAAACCCCTGCTCTGTTCCATTTTTAAACAGCACATAGGACAATATTATATAAATGTAACATTTTGATTGACAATCCAGTATAAATGGCATTACAGAGATGGAAGAGCGAGTGGACAGATGGATGGATGGGCCGGGTTTTTTAGGCAATCCAGCCCTTGTAGAAAGAGAAATAAGGACTGGTAAGTGAAGTAGAGAGTTTACTCAACTGCTTGCTTAAAGGACAAATTATATGCAACCTACACAGTATTACCAGTAGCAAGAAGTGATGGCAGGAGGAGATAAACTGAAAATTTAGGATTATTCATTTCTATGGAATGAATAAAAAATATACCTAAACAAGCTTAATAAAATGTAGTGTCTGTTTGAAAATTAATTAGAAATTTCTTCAAAGTGACTCTGAAGAAAAACTATTTCAATTCCTAATAGGAAGCAAAATTGACCATATTTTCTAAAAAACACTGCCGTTGTTCAAAAGACTAAAGTTTAAATCACTTCAGTGCAGGGTTTCAGTTTGAACTCAACACTGTCCTCTTGTGCTTCTGCCTTAAAATACATTTTCCTTTACCTCACAAGATACATGAAAACTGGAAGTCAGTAATGGACAAAAATACAGTCAGTAAGTGGGGCTTGATATTTTTTTTTTTAAGTTTGATTTAAAAAAAAAAAAACGCTCAATGCAACAAGACAAGTTTGAACAAAAATATTTCCATTGTTTTAAAAGTCATCATCTCAGTCTCTAGTATGGCATTTCTGTTATATCATATATAAAACAATATTGGTTACTAGTTTTGTCTGAGTTAAAATTTCTTACAAATTCCTGAAATAAGTTTCTGCAATTTTTTTAGTCTACGTATTCTTTGGACTAAAATTACTTAAGTTTTCCATATGTGTCAAGACTAGCATAACAGAACACAAACAACAAACAGCATTTGAGTAATAAATCAGCACCAGCATTCAGGTACAGGATAAAATTAGAGGCATGAAAGAAATCATGAGCATCATTATTTCTGTTTTTTGAACAGATTTTGCACCATTCTGCAGGTTGCACATTAGTCACACTGTAGTGCAAGATACCCTGAGAATCTTAACTTCAAAAAGGATCCAGCCCAATCTACTCTTCACTTTCATCAATGCTATACACATCCCAGGTCTAACACAATAAATGAATGCACAGCTGATGTACACTGGTTTTAGGAGAGAATAGCTTCCTGTATATTTGACCTTAAAATCAGAAGTATGAGCAGAAACTCTCAGAGCATATTCTTTCCAGCAATGGATCTGTGACAACTGAAGTATAACTTTGTGAGGCACAAACCACGTACATTTCCACCTTCATTTTATTTTCCTCCAATTTAAAAGAAGAAAAGTCTAAATAAATAAAAACTCCCATGATTACAAATAAAAGCATTTAAACAGTATAAACTTCATGTTAGTGAAAATGTATCTCCTAATACGCTACTGCAACTCTTCTCACTGACGTAAAATTTCATGTATCAGTGATATAACTAAATAACATCCAAAACATACAAAATGATACACAGATCAGAAGTTCAATGCGAGTCTATTTGTTTTCTTCTACCAAAGTATCCACTACTTAAAAAGGAGACCATTTCAGGTGGCAAAAGTTGGTATACTGCAATTCTCCTGTCTTCACATGAATGCAGAATAGGAAGCATCATGGAAGAAGCATGTTAGGCGAGTGACTGCAACACTGCTTGGTCAGGATTACACTTCAGTCCCCGTAGAAAGTCACTGACAGCATAATCTAGCCTGGCCAGTCATTTTCTGCCCACTACATCCCCAAGATTATGGAATTGATGCAGAGTGTGCAGCCACTGTAATTTGAAACATTCTGTGTCTGGCATGAGTAAGAATGTATATATATGTACACTATATATATAATGCCCAGACACATATGTGTCCACACCTATGTGTTTACGTAGAAGAAATGTATGTCCTGCAGGTCAGTCTTTGAGGCTGCTTGATATCTGTAACATAAAAGTAACCCCCACATGAACTCGGGTTGCTGATACAGCAGTGAAAATCACAAACTGAATTAAATTTATCTCACAGTTCTTATAAAGTACTGCATGGTTATCAGTAAAACATATGATACCTAGTTTTATTTGTACATGTAAAGAAGTAATACCTTTAAATTTCTGCAACCATTCAGAGGTCTGTAGTGTTGATACATTCAAAACATGCTATATGTGCTTCAGTCTGTTCATTTGATTATGTAGCATTTTATTACATTAGTTCCTGGTAAGAATATTAACTGTAGACTTACCCTGGCATTGGTCCATTTCCAGAAAGACTATAAACTTGACGAGGATTTAAAAGGTACTGAAATTTTCTATAAATTCTGAAGAGGTAAAAGATACAAGGAGAAAATATTTACTTACATGTTTGGATTTTCTTTTAAAAGCTATCAGTGAAAAAATTCAAGAAGCTAACACATACTATAATATCTGAATTGCAGGATCTCATTTATACAAAAAAATCAAATATTTGAACATAGCAATTATAATTTGTACATACAGTGTACCATGGGCACAAATTCAGACAGAAGTGGTACAAACTATCTAAAATTCACATGCTGTATATTGACAGAAAAAAAGGTAGGGTTAGGAGGTAAGAAAAGGTGAGTCAAAAAAGCATTTGGAAGAGCACATTGGTCCTATTAAAGTAACTCAATGGTAAAGGAGAGTTATATTCCTGAAATTTACTGCTAAGACAAAATTACAAGTACAATTAATTGCAAAAGCAAACTGGCTTTGCCACCCACCAACAATGACCCAACAGGTTGAACAACATTCTGAGAAACCAAATCTATTGTCAGCTATGCCTCCTTTGGATTATTTTTAAATGGCAATAAAAAGATTAAAAACAATTGTTTTACTTAAATGACACATGCTTTAAAATTATTTGAATAATAGGAAGCAATTTATTGATATAGCAAGAAAAGCACTGTCCTACCCCATAAGGAACCCCATTTGCTGTCCCACCCTCAGAAAATATTTAATTCATAGAATATTTCAAAAACTGTAACTTCATCAATTCGAGATTACTTGTCTTAAAAGTATGACAAACATTTTGTTTCTTCATTACAAGTATTAGAAATGCAATTTTCTACATTGACTACAATGTGGTAGCTGCTTCATTTCTTATGTAGAAACAAGTAAGTACATGAAGGAGTTGGAGCTCAGAATGAATAAATATATACCTGGGATCCATGGTAATAGTTTGAATCATAAACCCCTTTTTCTTGCTTTTAATTTCAATTTTTATGTCCTCAAGCTAATTAATATTTTAATACTTTTAAGAAAGCATTTATTTTTGCCACTGAAATTTCTCTTCATTTTACTGCCTTAAATAAAACAGAAGCACAATAAGAGCTGAATTTTAAGTTAAAATGTCCACATGTTTTCAAATTCATCAAAATAAAACTGTCTAGACACAATCTACGCGCACATTGAGGTTTATTTTGGTTTTTTTTTCTTAATAGTAATGCATAATTTATCAGGCTAGGTGGAAGACAAGGATGTAAGAATACTGAATACAAACAAATTTATAATTATCACTCAAATTGCCAAATTGGAACATTTTCTTAACTTCTCAATTATTTAACAACATCAGCTTCTTCAAAAAGCACTGTGTTCAAACACACTCACACAATCCATTCCTGATGCCATTCCTGACAGAAAAAGTCAATGTGAAATGACTGGTTTCACTTTGCAAGCATGCCACATCATTGTCAACGGTTGTGATGATGAGTAAATCAGACATTTGACAGTGGATTTACAACACAGTATATTTCCATTTCATTTGCAGAATCTTACCAATATTTATATCGTATTTTTAATTTTCTAGTTTATGTGTTCAGTTGCTTCTCAGTGACATATTGCATTTAACTGGGTCAAAGGTGCAGCTAATCTAATTTGTGTAGCTGACAATAATAAGTTCATAAACAGTACGGTTACGAAGCCCCAAAGGCTTAAGAGTTACTTGCCTAAAAGTTTGGTGCTACAAAACACACTAGCCATTACCTACACTCACAATACTGTTGTCAGGTATCAGTGAAATGCTATAAAAGCCTTCTTAATAAACAGGGAGCTACGTATCTCTAGCCAAAACCCAGAAGTCCACCTACAGTAATGAAGGCATTACATTGAATCATACTCAATTCAGTACATGATATTCATAGGTGCTAGTCAAACATCAATACCAGATAATCACTCTATAATGACTCACTGCAAATGACACATCATGCTTTCAGTTGTTACAAGATATTTATGTATGATAGTCTGTGTAAAATTCATAACTTGATGGTTCATTTCCATTCATACATTCTCAAAAAGAGGAAGAAACTGTCTATAAATGCTTGCCTTCACACTAAACTGCAACTAGAGTTAATGGTGACACATGCAAGATGTGTAAATGAACAGTAATTTAGCCTCCCAGTTTTCTACCTACAGTACCAAACAGCCTACTGATACTGACATGTCTCTGACTTGCTTCCGCATGTAACGATGGAATTGGACATTGTTTCCTTGTGACTGGAGATTTGCACAGACAAAGCCATGAGGCAGTGTAGTGGGTAATGCCCCAAAAGACAGCTTTTTGTGACAGAGTGCAATTTCATGTACAAAGCCAGTTCATGAAATTACCTCTTGTCCCCACTACCCCGCGCTAGTTCTTACCCTATGAAACTGTATATCAACAAAGAGTTCTGCTTCCATAACTGTTCGTGGGGTTATTCTATGATCTGGAAAACTATAGAGATTTAATTTAAAATACAAATCCTCAGAGAAGTTTCTCCGTTGTCACTTTTCCCCTTCACTTAAATGATGCCCGTGATCTCATATGAACCTCAAAATAGCTTCACTAGCATAAGTCAGGAGGCAGAAAATTATATTAGGAACAGCCAGGAGGACTGGGATCATCTTTAAACAGCTCTGCTGCTGAAGAAAATATTCTTGAGTGCATCTTGGGCTGAGTTAGGCTAAGCTGTCTTCTGAAGCCATAAGATCATTCCTTTACAGAAAGAAAAGAAATAGACAGACAGAAACCTGTTGGCAATTCAAAACTGGTAGTATCTTCTCTGGAGATATTCAAGACCCGCCTGGACAAGATCCTGTGCAGCCTGCTGTAGGTGACCCTGCTTCGGCAGGAGGGTTGGACTAGATGACCCACAGAGGTCCCTTCCAACTCCTACCATTCTGTGATTCTGTGATTCTGTAAAGTTGACTACACTGGGGAAAAAGCTGGCCATAGCAGTGCCTTGTGCCAACTGGGGGATGCACCTTCAGTAAGGTAGAGGGTGACTATTCAAGATGTGGTCAGTACAGGCTTAATGTAAACTTAACGGCAGAGAAGAAAGATGCCAAGAACTCTCCTCAAAATCAAAAGAATGCTAGCGATCTTCTCTCCTAGATATACAACATTTGAAAAAGGTAATTTGAAACTGCTTCTACATTTTGTCTCAATGCTATATGAAAGCTTAGAAAGCCTGACTAATCAGAGGGTAGGAGGGAAGAGCTACTATGAACCACAGTTATTTGAAAACAAGAAAGGTCAAAGATATCATCAACCTGTACTGCACAGACACTGAACGTGGAGTCAGCAAGAAACATCAGTGTATGGAAGCTGATCTGCAGTGCATCCAACCGCACATTTGTCAAGGAAACAATTGTTTAAACTCACCTGCTGGTCAGGCAAATAAATTGGGAAATGGGGAAGTGGAAAACAAAGTAATGAGTATGGCAAAACAACAGCATGATTTAGAAGGACTCTTATGTGAGAAGCATTACCCTTAACAACAGTCTTTAGAAGCACCACGTGCTTGTTGTATATTATTTTCATTGAAAGAAACTATTTTGTCAACGATGTGCTAAATATACACATTCTGTTCACAGATTATTGAATGCTGTTCCCTTGATTAGTCAGATCTTAAACGCAGACATACCTGACTGTTAGCCCTAGGATGAAATGGACGTACTGCAGGTTTTTTCTGATTAACTCATACCTGTCCACTGTATGCACAATCACTGAAAACATGTTACAGAGTGATGTAGCCTGAGGAAGACATCTGACCGGGTTTGCTGAACTCCTATCCAATCTCCCGATTAACTAAAATCTGGTTTTGGTATGTGAAAGGCTTAAACTTGCCAACTTAAATTCTAATTTGCTACTTTCCTAATAAACATTGAATTATATTTTTCTTCTATTTTATTACAAACATATGTCTTCTCCATTGCACTAAACCATTTAAGTCCAAATAATTGTAAATGTGTTTGTGTTTCAGGTGATGGGCAGCAAGTATTAATCTCTCCATTGCAAAGAAAGTACAACCAGGTTATTTTCATAGTTCTTTATTTTACAATTATATCTGCAAGTCATAGCATTAGTTTTTAAAAGAAAAAGCCGTTCAAGAAGAACATGGTATTTGTCACCATACATTTTGCAAAACTCCGGCTTTATAACAGAACTGAAGTTGTAAAACATATCAATAAGGTAATTAGATCTGATTGAAGAAGTATTTTTGTGTTTTGAATGCACTTTTTCTACATATCCACCTGTTTCCCACCACTCCGCTGTTTCAATATTCAAAACTAAAGCACCTAACCTTTTTTATCTTAAAGTGATCCTCAGCTCTTTTCCTTTGCATTTGAAAGATTTGAAAAAAAATGCAAAATACAAAAGGAAATGAGAGAGTATTAATGGGGGAGTGCATTTATTCAACTGGTTGTCGGATGCATACACTCTCTCCAAGTCTAAGGGCAATGAAATGGGTTGGGTTATCATATGGCAAGGCATAAAAACTCATATGGGAAACTGTGGGAACACTGGAGTCTTGACAGTATCTGCAATAACCTTTCTGTGCTCAATGAAAGTCAATTAGATATCATAACTTCATTCATTGTGATCTATCAAATATAGAAAATCCTAAGTAAAGACTGAAGAATAGCTTTCAGTAAAAGTTCACCTTAATCTCAACGAGTCAAGATAATGAAATTGTCATCTACAGAAATTAGTAGGTTGTCGATGTTTTTTGGGTTTTTCCCCTCACTGCTGTGGAAATCTTACCTTTGTTAGAGCCTATCTTCTACTCCTAGCCTCTCAATACTGGACCACATTACAAAATCATTAGAATCAAAAAGCCTGACTTGAATCACCATAACTGTGCGTTTTGCAAAGCTATTTATGTCTTAAATGTGCTGTGATGTTACTTTTCACAACATATAACAGCAACAAAATGGAAGGGGAGGGCGAGGGGGTGGAAGTGCGATTCTTCTCTTTCTGGTTACTGACAGTAGAGTAGCCAGATGAAAACAAGGACAAGTAAAAAGTTAAATATTATTGTTTGCTGAAAATTTTTTCATCCTTTAGATTAAATCTTCAAGCTAATACGTACTCTTAACATCCTTATTTTATAATTTTATTATGTTACTCCTATCGATATGATATATTAAGACCTAAAAGGCAAAGGGCAAACTCCTTCTCATCCAATAGTCCACATGTGGACTTCTTTTAACCTAGAATCTAGATTTAGATCTAACTGAGAATCTAGATTTAGATCTAACCCTAAGATATTATCTCCTGCTGGTGAACGACTTGAGATATGTCTACCTGGCTATACAGTTGACCTTTTGATGTGCTCCTCCTAATACAGAAATATTGAGTGCAACCTTGACACATTAGTATGCAATTCAACATTTTGTGTGGCATCAAAGCCAATTTCAGAGGTTCTCATACTTCACTATACTCAGCTGCTGATGGCTGCCCTCGTGCTATACACTTCATTGTGTAATGACACTTGTAGGTAATGGTGCTAGTGAATGAAACGTGTCTAAGGCATTCATTTTTTAAATTCAAATCATTCCTATGATCTGCTTGGCCTCCGTAACAGTTGCATTAACATAAACTAAGAAGTCCCATGTGAATGGGAATAGGAGCTTGGGAAGGGGATCAGGTTTTAAACTTGCTTTTACCCTGGAGAATATTTAACATTAAATGACATCCCTCTTGCATTAAGCCCATTCAGATAGTAACACTTGAGACCAATTATGAGCTGGGAACTAAAAGCTGTGAAACAGCATTTAATTAAATTGTTTCTAGGTTATAACTAACTACAGTAAGTGCAGCTCTCTAACCTGCCTCGCACCTACACATTCCAGACTGGATGCCCAACCTACTCACTTCATATAGGTACTATAAAAAAGCTAAGCTGAGTGCATTCCACAATGCCCCTGCCTGCACAGAAGACCAGGGCTAACTCACCTACTACTATGTCTGAAACATGAATGCTCAGCATGGCTCATATAGTTTTGTTGTGATTGCAAAGGCACGCTCTTGAAATTGTTTAGAACAAATCTTTCAGATCATCAGCTGCTTTTGACATAACTAGCATTGTTGGCATTGCTGATACCTAGCTATACCAGTCCAGGGGTTACATAATCAGCTCCTAAATGACAACCTGTTCTTTCAGAGGTCTTTGAATGCAGTTTTGGTTAGATGTTCTTCAGCTCTGAGAATTCCCTAACATCTACTCTGCAGGATTTTGTCCCTTTTGTCAGTTGACTTTAAGGGACGCTGTTTGAAAGAAGCGGTATAATGGAGGCAGTGGGGAAGAGGTAGGTGAAGCTGACCCACCTGCAGTTTACTTGCTTGGCTGCAAGGTTTAGAATCACAGTGGATTCCTCCTTTTGTGCTTTTGAGTACCCACATCACCCAGTATCCACAGGTGTCATCTTCAGCCTGACCTTGGCCAAAAGACCATAACCTTCTTCAAGACTTGAAGGATAAATTACAGCACTGACATGGTAAACTAGGCTATAAAAATCTGGCGATTTATGTGATGATCAAAAATGTCCATATTGTTAGCATTTGTGATTCTGAAGTACACTCTGAAAAATCTGCTCAGGGTGTAACTAATTCTGCATTTCTGCCTGAGTTTGATGGACACAGTAGGAGAAGAATGCTCCTTACCACTGTTTTATCAAGCCTCTGATATACTAACATTTAAACATAAACTTAGGCATTTTGAATTTAAATCTGTGTAATTACTGACATATATAAAATTAAGCATTTCTTTAAAGTTTGTGTGATTGTACTTTAATACTTTAACTGGATTGTTAGAATACTTCCTATCTACAGAAATAGAAGGTTTTCTCTGTGTCGGAAATCTTAAGGAGAGGTTGGAGAGTCTACTCACTAACTCTTTGAAAGGCAAGTCATACGTTAGAAAATGGCATACTGTTTCCAACTTACATGATTGGCCTGCCTGCATAATTATTACAGAGATTAAAAGAAAACCGTTACAACTTCAAAGCTGCAATGCAAAACATTAGCAACTCACATCTTCATGCAAATCACACAAAACCATACACTGAATATAGCTGCTTTTTCTGATGTGAAATTAAACTGTTGTATAGAACTCATTCTAGTTTATAACTGCAGAATTTGTAACAACATCCTAGTGTATACCTCTTCTAAACAGGGCAAGGGGATGCTAAAATGCGAGGCATAACAGTATAAAATTGAATTTCTCTTCATACAAAAACTTTTAGCGTTCATTTTTAAACACAGAGATCAGAATAGAGAAAGAGAGAAAAAAAAAGAAAAGACACCTTACCTTTCTCCTTGTTTCCCACCACTTTTAGGATTGACAAAAACTAAAAGTGGATGAGTGCCTGGAACTGGAGTGATCTAAAAGAAGGGAATAACACAGCCACTCATTAATGCTGTGTGTTGCATTCATTTTTCCTATAGTAGACAGAAAACAAAAAGCTTAATGCAAACTCTATGTTATGCTATGTAATCCAGCTGGAAGCAATTCCATAATTTGCAAGAATCCTCACTTCATTAATTTGCCACAAATTGCAAGTGACTTTTTTTTAATGCTGTCTGTCTTCCAGCTGCGATGCATTTTTAACCTATATTTCCATTGAAATATTGATCTATATAGGTTATATCCATCAATAGAGAAGAAAACTTTAAATGCAAGAAATGCATGACTGATTCTGACTGCAGAATAATTTCCTATGGAAAAGCTATGAAGAGACTGTATTTTGTAGAGAGAAATGATACTATACTATAAAGGTCAAATATAGCTGTATGAAATTTTAAACTGGACAGAATATATTTGTTTTAAATTACAGAAACCTGCAATATTTGATATGATGTGCAATCACACACTTTTTAAAATGTAGCAATTGTAACAATAATGAGTTCCTTAGAAAGCTGGAAAATTTAAAGAAGTAGAGGAGAAAACACGTAGAATAAGGGAAAGCCTGAGGAAAAGAATGGAGAGGAGGATATACTGAAGGAAACAATGACTTGTACTGTGTTTTTTAAATCTTTTGTGCACGGGAAGTTTTACATGGTAACATTAATGTTTACCTTTACAAACTAACACCTTCCTTCTAAGTAATAGTGTTAGTCTGCATTTTCAGACACTGCAGGAGGTGCCTATTGACTGCCTTTGGTCCACAGACTTGAAGAACATAAAAAAAATACATCAGATGATCTCTCTCCAATATCTGTTTTTAAATTGTAGACTATTCATATTTAAAATTGTCACTTTTAGACATATATCAATTCTAGAATGTTTAAAAGCATATTAAGAGTTCAAAGTCAACATCTCCAAAGTCATGCACTAACAACTTCAGAGATGAAGCTTAGACTGTCTCTGTTTCAAAATAATACACTGAAAGCCCTTGCTCCAAATCCTTATTCCTAATTCCTCAAATAACAAAATCTTTTTGGCTGAAGATTTCATAAAAGGTAATTTAAGGCAGAACCTGAGAAACACGATAGCTAAGGAGTCTTACAGGCATCCTATACACATTGGCACATATATAGATAGATGGCCCTATAGCCATCTAAAAGTACTTTTCTTCTAGTATTAGGCACTAGTGTGTCAACTCCATCCATAACTTCACAAACAACGGATCCAAATCTGTTCCAATATACAAAGCAAATAATTAAAAACTCCAGCCAACTCAGGGGAATTAAACCTAGCATAAAGCCAACCCAGTATCAAAGTCTGGCACAGTATGTTGTTATAGTACAGCGTCGTACGTTGAAATATATATCAAATTGCAGGATATAGTGAAGTTTGTCATATATTTAATTTTTATCTACTGTTTTAATCAATTTTAGTTATTTAGCCAATTCCCATGATGTTTGTTCCTGTGAACTAAGTGTAAACCAATGGTGTTCATTGTGACAGAGATGGACTACCTACTGAATTCCCTTAGGACGCAGGTTAATTAATGAGACTCATCCTAAGGTTATACATGATCTATTACTTCCTCTAATTAGAAATAATAATCCTGATCATTATGCTGGTTAGCTAGAAAGAAGTAAGATGAATGTGCTTAACTATGATTAATTGTCTTTAAGTCGCGCAGATCTCCACTGCCACTAAGTTATCAGCTCACTGCTGTCTGATGGAAGGAAGGTTCAGTCTTGATGCTTTTCTCAATAAAAGCTAAATGATAAACTTATTTCTATTTTAAATCTTTTATTTCAAAACTTAACATTATTACAAGTAGAACGTTTAGGAAAATAAATTAAAAAAAATATAATAACCAGTCTGTATTCCACTCAATTCCAAAATAAGGTCTCTTTTAATTAATTTCTTACACCTTTTCCAAAATACTTTTCTTGACAACATAGATCCTTCCATATAATAAATAATGCAACTAAAGATTTAGACTAAACTGGTGAACGTTTTCAAGACTTAAGCTAGCATGATTTAAAGGCAATCTCCACGAAGTTATTGGACAAGTGACTTAAAGTAAAAAAAAAAAAGAAAAGAAAAAGTGGTGGCCCAATTATATACAGCTTCTCTTATATTGAAATAAGAGGTCTAACAAGAGTAGGATGAAGATTTGCTGGGTAACTTTGATATGTTACCTCGGGAACTTAAATCATAAGCAAATGCAAATAACATAACAGTTGAATTTTCTGAATAAAAATGTTCCAAGAAAAGTCACAAAAATCCTCTTCATGTTCACTGAAGATCATGTTAAAATGAGACCATGCCAGCAAAATCAGAGCATTAGAATCAGAGTAGCACGCTTTGGCCAAATGGAAGAAAAGTATACTTTGAACAGCTACAGATATTTTTTGCTGCAGATCATCTTTAGGCAACATACTAACATTAATTACCAGTTATATTTATGGAATCTTACATATTTGTGGAAATAGTTCCAAAATTATGAAATCTGTGAGCAAAAAAAACACCCTAACAGTCTCGCTGATCCCAGCCTTTCACTATGGTATCCTTCAAGATCCACTCAGCCTTCACAATGATCAGGTTATCATTCCTGATATTAATCAAAGTTTTAATAGTTGGTGCTAAGATGGATTCCTGTTACTTGAAACCAATCCTATCCAACAAACAAAGACCACAGTATAATCAGCAAATTAGGGTCATCACTGCAGAATTATTTCTCATGTTATCACTATGATTACCAGCATTACACAGATGTGGCATTACAGAACAGTTCCAAGCACTTCAGAAAAAAAATTCAAATCCATTCAATAATTATTCTACCATCTTAGTCCTCACTACTTCTTTCTTTCCTTCTCAAGTGACAATAAATAAAAGCAACGATGAATGCTAGGCTTTGGATTCATCATGGAAAGAGAAGATAGCACATAAGTTTTAGATCATACTAACAAACTTACAGAAAATCTTATGCCATAATTACCTGAAAGAAGAAATTTTAATAAGCTAAGGTTGTATGTGCAAGAGTCAGTGGTGCTAGGAGTTCACTATTTTGAACAGCCCAGGCATTACAGCCCAGGCACTGTATCTCATGAGTGGGAAATAGAGACTTGAAATATACCTGAAAATATACTACAAGCATAAGCAATCTAATTGTTGGGGTAACACCAAAATTCATAACGATACATGGCACTGCTACCGAAAGGAGATGCCAAAGATCCGCCTCTGTCTAGAGCAGTTGGGCTCACTGAAATTACATGGATATCGCCCAAAAGTTAGAAAATACCGTGTGCTTCCTTTAGACCCAATTTATTAGTCACACTGTGACAGCTTAGACAGAACTTGAGCTTTCTGTCAATGAATAACCTTTTTGCTTCATGCTCTGTCACAGACAACCTGGATAGCAATGTAGGTCGTGAGGATGGCAAGTACAGGAAGAAAGCCTTGAAAGCCATGGATAACGATCGCTGTAATATCCTACTAGACCATCAATGGGGCAGCCATGTGACTGCACAGGTTTTAGGGTTTGGGTTTTTGGTGGTTTTTTTTCCTTTTCTTTGGGTTGTTATAACAAGAATGTTTCACTAACCTAAAAAGATGAAGTAATAAAATAAGCTCTTCAATCCTGGCACTATAAGATGTACAATGAAAAAATTATGAGGTATATAACATTTGATATATGGTAATGGAATCTTTTACATTTTACTGAACCTCGGTTGCAAAACATCAAAAGATACAGAGAACAGTCATCTATGTGAATTAAATTATTATCACACTGTTATCACGATAATCATTTAACTCCTGAGGAAATACAGAAGCAGCATCATATATGTGAACATTGATTTTGGTCAAAACTATTCATATCCCCAGGGAAAGAAGTCAAGCAGTTCAGGCAGAACTTCTGGCATGACTCTAAGTAAACTCCCTAAAATAACATGAGCTCATTACACACACAGGTTTTTCACTCGAGTAGAAAAAAACTTCCGTTTTTGTTCCAGATATCGCTATTACTGAAACCATCTTGCTTTTCTCCACTCTTAATTTCGATGTGCCAAATACCCTACTTGGAAATACCTGGACAAATAACATCCTTGAAGTTTACTGCATCCATCCATTAACAGGTCAAGATGAAAACAGTGAACAGTTATCAAGACACAGACTCAGATTTATAATGTAAATTCATACAATGCTGCATGACACTCTAAAACAATTGAGTTCAGCTTCATCCCACAATACAAGTGTTTTAGAGCTAGCTCTCCACCTGCCTTAATGTCTTCGGAAGTCCTACCAATCACATGAGAAGCTGATTTGCACTGCACGATTCCTGTACAGACAGAAGAATTTATCCTTTTTTTTTTTCAATATGTAAAAGTGAAATATTGAAGCCAATGTATAGCAAATATTTTACTTTAAAGGTTGCTTACTCTATCATTGTCTTCATACCTCTAAGTATCTCCTTAAAATTAAAATAACAATAATCACACCTGAAGACCTTGTCCATCTACGGTGACAGAATTTGCTCTTTGCATTTTGTTCCGTTCTCCCAGTTTGTTCATTTGTTGGGGGCAACTCTTTTCTTTTTTCACTGTTGCCTGTCTTTCCTTGAAAAAAGAAGAGAAAAGTAGAAAATGGAACATTTTAACGTATTATATAATGCTATACAACTGTAACTGAGACTGTGCCTCCACAAAGTTGTCTTCTGACTAGAGAGTAATGTCAGATTCTGCTTTAATGAAAATGAGATCTCAGTCAAGTTATTACACAATGTCTGGCCACTTCATGTAACATCTATCTATATGCCTGGACACTCCATAATGACTAGGCAATAGATGGATGGAATGTGTGCAGTCACAACACAAATTAATGCAATGATGTGAAAAGACAATCTGACATTGCCAAGATGGTATTCTGAAACTTGAAAGCCAACCATACAAAATACTTGATCATTTAATAAGCACGTTGGTAAGAGATCAGTAATATACCAAAATTTCATCGTAACTGCTAGCAAAGGTTGGATACTTCTAGAGTACTTTACCACTTTGGCAAAATATACCCATTCTAAATGTACCATAATCAATTGGCTGAATGGCTTTTTATAAAATATGTATTTTGCATCAGAATGAAAACAGAATCTACATCAAGTTCTAAGCCACTGGCAAGTTTTGATGCTGATACACACCACAATCAGATCGTTATTTGAAAGAGGAAAGCTCAAAAGTATGTTGCTACAATCATATTTTCAACTGTTGTCAGGTCATTTCATAGAATTCTGAATGAAAATAAAAAAATGTCCTTGCTCTTTGTATCTCATTTATGCTATTTATAAACTGCACCCAGCATGTTTGTTTAGGTTGTCCAAAAATGTACCGTAAATTAAGACAGCAGATGTTTATCGAATAGAATCAGTTTCCCCAGTCCCAACTGCACCCCAGTCGTTTTCTTCACAAGTGCAAGGAGGCTTTAAACTACTCAGGGGAATGGGCTGGCACAAAGCTGCTGCACTAGAAACGAGCATGAAGGACACTGTTGCACCCCCTGCAACTGCACTCAGTAAGCAGTTCATTAAATGCTACCACTTACATTCCATACCAGGCCTAAACCATCTCCGTGCTACCTCTGATAAAGCCTTCGGGATTGCACTAGCAATTAATCCATGCCACTCTTTCTGGAGCAGTTTAAACTGGTAGGAAACATTGACACAGATTCTCTAGCAGGAAGAGAATAACTCCCAGCTTAATATAGTGCCCTCCTGGTATTACCGTAACACAGATGTGGACAATCACTCTTTTTACACCCATCTTTGGTTTCCTTTAAATCTGCAGACTGACACAGCCTCAGTCTAGTCCTGATAAAAACAGTGGTCCAATTCGTTCCAGGCAGCTTTGGGTAGCCAAGTGCATTTGGAAACTCTGTCAATTTGATCACATTTCCCACAGAAGGACTGACAAACCTACGCCACAGAAGAAAAATGGGGAAGTCCACACTATTTCCCATAGGCGGTGACATTCCTAAGAGGTTAGTTAACTGAGCTCTTGGATGCTTTGTGTAGTTGATCAGTTCAAGAGGAGGTCCAAGAGTCTAGACTCCAGTATCATTGCTTTAAACAGAAAACAGTAAAAGCAATCAGAGCTATTCATCTCTGCCCTAATGTTCAAAACACAAACAAACACTGTCCATACCACTGCCTAAGAAATCACCAACTCTGCACTTACTGATGATTTTTCAGAAACTAGAACTCTGATGAGGCACCCAAACACAACAACATTTGTGAACTAACACAAAACATTAATGCACAATGGTACTGGTCAGTGCCAAGAACAGTAAGAAACTTCAGTATGAAGGAAGCTTCAGAATTTACTACATATGTAAGAAGCAGCTTTGGGAATTCAAACCACTTTGCGAATAACTACCCTTAAAAGTCACTACATCTTATAAAATGCAAGCATACCAATTTGAACAGGAGGTGCAATCCAGGAGGTTCCTACAGAGCATCGATGATAACTTTCTGATGCAAGTGGTGGAGGAACCAACAAAGAAAGGTGCTCTGCTGGACAGAATCACAGAATCACAGAATGGTAGGGGCTGGAAGGGACCTCTGTGGGTCATCCAGTCCAGCGCTCCTGCCAAAGCAGGGTCACCTACAGTAGGCTGCACGGGACCTTGTCCAGAAGGGTCTTGAATATCTCCAGAGAAGGAGACTCCACAACCTCCCTGGGCAGCCTGTTCCAGTGCTCCATCACCCTCAGAGGGAAGAAGTTCTTCCTCATGTTCAGGCGGAACTTCCTGTGCTTCAGTTTGTGCCCATTGCCCCTTGTCCTGTTGCTGGGCACTACTGAAAAGAGCTTAAATTAACCTTGTATTAACAAACAAGGAGGGACTAGTGGAGGATGTGAAGGTCGGAGGTAGACTCGGCTGCAGTGACCATGAAATGGTCGAGTTCAGGATCCTGCATGGAGGAAGCAGGGCAATAAACAGGATCAAAACCTTGGACCTCAGGAGGACTAACTTTGGCCTCTTCAAGGAGCTACTCGGAGGAATCCCGTGGGCCAGGGCTCTCGAAGGCAGGGG